GATTACGTGTGCCAATATCGGTCAGTACTATGCAAGGTATGCATGTCAAAATGGTTCGAATTAGAATATGACGAATAGGACGAATGATGTAGAAACACGTGACAAAAAGGAAAAGCCAAGCAACATTCATCAGTAGCGAGTGCACCATGTTGATAACTATATGAATATATTTTCAAATACTGATGAATGATTCTAAAGACGACATAGTTTATCGTGCTTATCTTTCTACGTTCTTTTTTATATTAACAATGTGATAAGAAAACGAGAAAAAATATCTTGAGAAGACGAACGGCCAAGTGTGTGAGAATACATTTATATCTCTATTATGAAAAGGTCAAATGAGTGGGTGTGGGTGTGGGTGGGTGTGGGTGGGTGTGGGTGGGTGTGGGTGTGGGTGTGAGTATGGTACACTCTACTAATCATCAAGTACCCACACCCACACCCACCCACACCAAATTAACAATTTCAGTTCCAATCATAGAGATAGACCAGATGTCATTCAAGTTTCAGTCGATTGAGAAATGTGATGAGCAGCTTCGACTGTTGATCGTTTCTATGATTAATAACATAACGCTTTAATGACACTTCACACGATAGAAAATACATTATCACAATCTCGATCGCCGAATAAGTACAAGAAAATATAATTTGTATATAAATAAATGAAAAAATTACTCAGAGATAAATTCATAAATGCTGATTTTCTAAAGTAAACAACGTGACAGATACATAGATTTTTATCTATTCTATCAAACATGGCAATTAGATATATTAATTTTATGCATTTTATTCAAATGATAAATAACTTGCTAGCAAAGTTATTTTATCAAACAAAGAAAATAGAGAAGTACTTCATTAAATATTTTGTTTGTTCGGATTGATTACAATCGAGTTGTGTTGCATCATTTGTACATTTGTTCGTAACAGTCACTAATTTTTCATATTGTATCGCAAGTTTCTGAAGACATGGAACATATGTAATTGCATGACGTAGAAATGGACATGTATCGTATAATATCAAATCAAGAACAAATTGAAAATGATGACCGCGAAAACTATTAGTAATCTAAGATATAATCGATAGAGCAATTAAGTGGAGAATGTTTCCAATTCCTACATGTATTTTGAATGTCAATAGTTGAGAAGAAATAATTTGTTTTCAAACTTAACACAATTGTACAACAAGCAATATTCAGAAGTCAATTGCGGGTGTGGGTATGGGTGTGTGGGTGTGGTTGTCGTTGTGGGTGTGGATGTGGGTGCGGGTGTAGGTGTGGGGTGTGGAGTGTGGGATGTGGGTGTGGATGTGGGTGTGGGGTATGGGTGTGGGTGTGGGTGTGGGGTGTGGATGTGTCAAGAAGACTTACACCCACATCCACACCCACACCCACACCCAACGAATAAAATTTGATCCACGATCACTAACCCAATAGACAGAGTCGATCCGACCAATTCCATATCGGTTTAATTCTTCTTTTAAGTCCTATAATATTATAGATTTTAGTCTATATTTTTTGTTGGTCTCAATGTCCTTACCCGTGATATATTTTCACCTGTTTTACCTAAATCAATTGGAAAACTTCGACAACACAAGGTAAATTTTCGAAACTGGAGATTGGCATCAACAAAAGTTACTGTGACTCCTAAATACGACAACTGGCGGTAGCGATCGAGCCACATGTCAGGTGAAAGAGTCAATGATTGCTTTTTGATTGGCTCCCTAATAAGTTCAATTAATTCTTGTCGATAAAGTTCAGCTTGATCTGAAATAGATCGCGAAATTGTTTGCCGAGATTGGAAGAGAGTTTGTAAATCCATTGTGGGACCAATATATTTTGCTCCTAAGAAAAGAGAAGAAATAATAACATATCAGTATTCTTTAAATTGAATAAATTCAAAAAGGACTAAATTTACCTAAATCATAAAAATGAAAGCAAATTTCTCGAAGACCTGAATCTTCAACAATTGAAATAGGACTTAAATTATCAGATATCCAAGTAGAAAATAATTTAGTAAGATATTGTTGTTTCGATGGTCGGAAAGACGTTTTACTTTTAATAACATGTTTGTCTAATGTATGTGAATAATCATTAGAAGCTGAATTACATGATGATGTTAATCCATGACATTGATGACGTGCAATAGATTCTGTTGATGATAAACCATAACGAAATGTTGTAAAACACTGTTGACATGATATAAAATTTGAAACAAAGGATGTTTCACCTGATATATTTTCTTTAGCAAAACCAAAGTTTGACCACCAGCTAGCTAAATGTGTTTTAGTTATCCCATGTGCAGTAACAGTAAATCTATCAATTCGCTTGCTCAATAAAATTTTTATTTTATTAGCCTTTTCTTTCGTTTCTTTGATGTTATTTTTATCGATATCATCAATAATTGCCAAATGAAATTTTAATTTCAACTGTTCTTTTTCGTTTCTCTTTGTTGCTGATGAAGATATGTCAATAATAAAATCATTATCTGTTGAGGATGGTGAGAGATTCTCGCAGGCCATCAATGCAAGTTATAAATATTTTAAGTAATTTAATGGCTAATATGTTCAATATAAGATTAAAAGAATGATAAAAGTTAATCCTTGTACACCTAAAATAGATGAAATATCGATAGTTAAGAAAAAGCAAGTGTTCATAAAGGGTATGAAAAAATAATTTGCTATGTGAAACGACCATTTTTGTATTACGCCAATCATAATCAGTTAATACATGAAAAAAAATGACCATTCGTTCTTCTCTACTTGCTTACAGTCACTACCTCTATTTGTTTTTGTTTTCTTTCTATCCATAGTCAATGTATATTATCTGTTACCTTCTATGTTTCTCTTTCAGTTATCTTCTATATACAAATGTCATAACTATGTCAAGGCTGAAAAATTGAATAGAGAAGTGGGTTGAATTCCGGTTCGTGTTACTCGCAGTAATATTTAATTTATTTTCTTTTTGACATACCGGACACTTGGAGATTTTTCAATTAATCAATATTTTGAACATTCTCTTTCGTCTAGTCATTCAAATGTACGAAAATAGAAATTACTAATTTCTAGCTATTACTGAAAATTCTGACCATCTTCTATTCTTGTTATTATAACACTTCATAGAACAACATTTACCTTTCAAGAAAATCTAATGGACACATCATATTATTATGTATAAGTGTCGTACGTGTCACAAAGTTTAATACAACTTGATATTTTTTGATGATTTTTCGTCTTCAGTAATGAAACCAACAATAATAATCTTGTTTTCTGAATTCGATTTTTTTGCTCGTAATTTAATAAGAAAGCAAAAAGTACGTACAGTTTATTTTCTTCAACTGTAATACGTTTCTT